ATACTAGAAACGAGAGCGCTAAGCGCTAAGAAGTAAATAGATGCCTTAGGCATTAAGTAAACGGGTTACGTTTCGTAATAGTTATAGGTTATATCTTACTTCTAAGATAGGTATTAGCTAAGTTATATAATCTAGTATTATATAACCTATATTACTTAATTCTAATCTCTAAGGTATCTCTTAGAATATCTAACTAGACTATACTTTCTAATAACTAGTATTTTACTTATATAGAAGCTAGAGAATCTAATAGACTCGAAGTTACTATAAATACTATTAATAACGAGTACTAGTAGCCTATATATCGAACGATCTAGAGTATATACTATAATTAAAGTACTATTTAGTAAAGTAGTAAGATTCTTATATTCGATAAATAAGGAATAGGCGAATAGGTATATTATAGTAGCTAGAGAGTTCTATAAAACTAATTTTCGTTATCTTAAGATATTAGAATAGCTACGAAGAGTATAAATTCGAGACTATAAGGATAGCGTAATATAGTTATTAAGTATAATTAATTTTTACTACTTAGTATAATACGATACTAAGTAAAATAGACCTATTCTATTATAGAAGCTTATTTTATTTAAACCTAGTACGAAATAATAAGTTCTACTTCGGAGGCGTTAGTACTCTACTTTATAAGAGAATCGTACTCTAAGAAGTACTACTTTAGAGATATAAAGCTAGCTATCGATAGCTAAGTTATACTCGTTTTAATTCTAAACGCTTATATTACCTAGAGAAGCCTTTATAAGTATAGTCTAAAAGAGAGATATTTAGTAGATAGATATAGAATAGATATATATAATTTCGATCGGATAAGTTACTACTAGAATTAAACGTTATTAGTTCGGTAAAGAAAATCTATAATTATCTAATACTAAATATTATTAAACGTCTAGGCCGTCTAATCTTCTACTTTATATTATCGTCTCTATTCTACTACTATCTCCGACTCTACTCTATATTCTACTTTATAACTCTTTTAAATATCGAATATCTAGCTTTATATAGTAGATACTATAACTACGTAGTAGTAATTATAGATATAGTACTTTCTACTATTCTAGTAGCTACTATTAGGCCTATAGACTTTATTATCGATAGTTACTTTAGTATCTTAATAGACGATTAACTCGATAACGTAGTAAGTAGAATACTAATTAACCGAGCTCTTACTATAAGTATTCTTAAACTTTTATATATAATTCTAATAGAGGAATATAAAAATTATTCCTAATTATTAGAAAAATATACTATTAGTAGGCATTTCCTTAACTTAGATATATTCTTAAAAGGTAAGTAAAAAGATCTATAAATAGTATTTTCTATTAATAATATAACTAGATATCGTTCTAAAGTTATACTTACGTCTATCTTTTAATAAATATTTTCCGATAGAATTCTAAATTAGTAAAGCTATATTACGTTCCTAGACGAATCCTAGGTCTAAATAAATATAGCTTACTCCTATATAATTATAGAGTAGTAGATTAAAATCTATATTAAAAGACTTTCCGAACGATACTTTCGCTTCTTTAATTATACTTTAGAGAACTAACTTAACGTCTACTTCCTATTTTATATATACTAGTTAGCCGAGTTTATATATATTATAACTAGTATCGACGTTAGGAAGGGACTATACCTATAAGCTTACTTCGAGAGCGAGAAGTAGGAGTCTAAGAAGAAGAGTAATAAGCTTTATAATACCTAACTAGTAGAGACTATCGCAGATATACTAATTTGCGAATAAGGTATAAGAGTATTACGTATAGCTTCCCTAGTACTACTCTTATTTATTATATAATAAAAGAAAGGAAAGTCAATATTAGTCTACTAGAGTGAAGCACGGCTGTTAGTGTTCTAATCCTAACGTGAAGCACGGTCGTTAGTGTTGTAGTTAAGGACAACGCATTGTACACCTTCAGCTAATTCTGGCGACTACGGGATAACAGTAAGCGATGACATGCGGGTGAGCAGTGCAGCGGGAGCGAAGACAGCGTTGCCTGTTTGCCATGGTACGCGATTCCATAAACTGATGGCGCTTCCCAACACTTGACCTTTAGGAAAGACCATACGCTCCGGACCGGCCTCCTTCGATCTCGCACGGGTTCTTAGGGTTCCTTCACGGGCCTGGAGGGTTCCCACGAGCCCAATCGAGGTCGTATCCGGGCCAGCGCTACCAGTGAAATGAACCGCTCTGTGCATGTAATTCCACTTTCAACCGCGACATCCTTAAGCTCAGGCCACAAGCTAGAGTTGGTGTTTTTTTGGACCCCGGTATTCATCAAATCGGGTCTTCCGCTCGATCTGCGCGCCCGAGGTGAACCCTCTCTCTACCCCAGACGATATGTAAAGCTTCATCAAAGTCTCATGAAGTGATCTCGACAGTAAAACTTAGGGCAAAAGCAGCCCGTCTATAGACTGTGATATCGGCGTCGGCAGCTCTCACCTTCCACGGAGCCTTTGGTTACATGGCTGCCGTACAGTAGATCGTGCATAGTGCACTCGAGCGAAACCTCTCTCTTCCCCAGACGACATGTGAAGCTTCCTCAAAATCTCGAAAAGTGTTCTCGAAAATAGAAGTTGGGGCGAAAGTAGCCCGTCTTGAGACTGGGATATCGCCGTCGGTAGTTCTCATCTTCCACGGAGCCTTTGGTTCGTTGCATCGCTGCTGTAAAGTCTGCCACATGCATACGCAGAACGGGAAGTATAATGTCAAATAAGCTTCAACGTGCTGGGATCCGCCGCTGAGGGCTCTACTTCACTGTACAACTTCGCTGACTGTACGGATCGTCTTCACATACATTTGCGGGACGGAAAATCGAATGATCAAGAAGCTTCAACGTGCAGGTCATCGACTCGAAGGGCTATGAATAGCGCATCGTTCCCCATACGCCCATGAGGCATTGTACAAGGAATCGAGCATGGTACAATCAAGCTCCTGAGCCAAACGGATTGGAACGGCGGACGAGACAAGTTGGTCTCGTAGTGTAGAACTTCAAAAGGTGCGAGACCAGCGGTGGAGCGCGAACGTTGTTGGTGAAGGTACCGTCTGCAAGACCATGCATTGCGAACAGAATTTCGAGAGGACACACACACAGACTCGACCTTCCGGGTGCAACAGCGAATACAACAGGACTATGGAAATTGCCTCAGTCTCGCGGATGGCGATCTCTTCCGACACATTTTGAACGCTCGCAGCCGGGTCGATCTTGTCGTAAGAAGAAGTGGTACAGTCACCACCCAGGGCCCGATCGATAGTCTGCCGCACCCTGCTGGCGTGTAATCCCCTTGGATGTTACGCTGCCACTCGCCGAAGTCCTTGTGTAATGCTGGTTTTGGCAATCAAACAGTGCTCTTAAACGGGCTAGAAATGTGCACACTATCGATCAGGCCCATGGTGGTGACTACATGCACGCTTGGAAGAAAATGGCACAAGGGTCACCCTTGTTCGCGCCGGTTCGGGCTAAGGCCTATTCCACAGATGAGACCTTATGGATGTGGTCAGCGCTAACAAATAAGCCCTATTTGATGTCGTGCTTAGCGTCTACGAGTAAGACCTCATTTATGTTTTAAGCCTCTTTTCGTATTTGTCCAACGATGCTGCCTCAATCCGACATCAATGCGAAGCGGAAATCTCTTTTGCAAGATCCTCGGTCCCCAACGAACGGGACGCTACAGAGGTTCGACCTCTTCAATGCCACCGCTTCGTCACGTGGGAGGCTTTCTTTCAAATGCATCATGTCTCAAGGTCTGCTCGGAAATGCTTCAATTGCTTATTGCTTGTGCGAGGAAACGTATCAGAAGCGTGGGGAAGAAACCAGACCACTGCTTTGGGGAGGAGCTACAGAATTCCACAGGCTGTACCTTATCTTGTTCCCGTACGCGACGAGGAAATTTAGGTACATCTTGGGCGGCAACTGAGACAAGCTGCTCGGCGATCTATTTGCGTTGCATGTTGCCATGTCTGTCCCGGCATCTGCGCAGAGATAGACATTGTCGTCTACTCCTGCATTGCTGCAGCTCTACGAGCTCCCAGACTTGTTAGCCTCTGGTCGGCCAGCAACCGCGGAAGAAGCCCAATAGCGTATTCAGCGCAGAAAATGGATTGCTCTCATGCCCCGCCGGCAAAGCAGACGGCCCATCGGATCCAAATGCAAGAACTTCGATTGCGGTAGAGCACATCGACTTCGGGCTGAACGGCCAGCACATCCAGCACCTGTTTGCCAGCTCCCTTACCGTTCCCTATTCTGGAGAATGTTTCGCTGAGGAGATCTCACTCCTGCCAAACCGAAACGATTCGACTCCAGATCTAATTCATTGACACGACTGAGATCGAGCGTGTTGTTTTCGTCGCCGGACGAAGGTTGCCCAGATGCTCGGTTCCGTTGCAATTGCAACAACATCGTCGCCTATCCGCAAACGCTTCTGGACAAAGCCATTGTTCTTCTAATGAGAAAAGCCGTTGTGCTCCCCTTTGTGCAGACAATGCCTCTTCTTCTTTGTCGAACTCAGAACGATGGGCCTTTGTTCAAAATTTGAAGATCTCGTAGCAGAGCATATATCCCCCTCTCATAAACGCAGCAATGAGTCCTTCTCTCCGTGCATCGTGGTCCTATCGTTCCATCTTCAGGTTTTCAGAAAACTCTCAGCTATCCTCAAAGCCGCTGAAAGTCATCTGCCAGAACTGAAGAACAGGAACGATCCCACCCCGATCCGCGCCGGTCGCGAAATCATGCTCCCCATAATCCTCCTCCTCGGCCCCTGCGGCATCGGCAAAGGAACTTTCGCTTCGACTCTCACCCAAGAGTACAACATCCACCACCTCTCCTGCGGAGACTGGCTTCGTTCCAAGACTGTTTCTCCGATCCTTGGTGTTTCCGACACCAACATAAACGACTACGTCGCTCTAGATTTCGACATTCCCGAAGCCTGGCTAATCGCATCCTATGGTAGCGAATGGAAAGAAACAGCCCCTCCAGCTCTAGTCCTCTACGTCTGTTACAAACGAAACGAGAGCACGCCAGCCAGCATGTGGATCCGCGCCTTACCAGGCTTGAGATCAGAGTGCGAAATGGTGAGTTCTTCAGGAGCAAGAGCAATTCTTCTTGACAACTTCCCCAAGACACTGATACAGTCCGTGGCCTTCGACGAATGCTTCGGTAAAGAAAGTCTCCCCGTCCTCGCAATTTCCCTAACCTGCTCCACAGAGATTATCCTGCAACGCTTCCTCTCACGTTCGCGAGGGAACGACGATGCGAAGACGTTCGAGCGACGCCTTAGAAGATTCGAGATGGAGTCGCCGGCTGTTATCCAAAAGTATCGGAATTTGGGCAAATTGGTCCAGATTGAGGCGACGGGGACGCCGGAGGAGGTTTATCAGAAGGTGATGGGTGCGTTGGAAGGACACAAGGTCTGGAGAGTGATTTCGTGCGATACTGATCAACTTACTTCTAGGGACCATCGTGCACGTTTGCCTTCTGTTGTGACTAAGTTGGAGAGGTCTCGAGCGAAAAAATTGTCGCCGGTCGTTGCAAGGGGATTCTCTGGGTCGGGTCCTGCTTCTGCCCCGATCTCGAGTCCAGTCTAGATGGTTCTTTGATCATTGTTCCAGGGGACAAAGCGTTGCGCTGACATTGTGACCTGCAATGCATGAAGGTGGCCAATTCGTACCGGGACAAGATTGATATAGCAAGCACGCCAAGAAGTGCCTCAAGCACTGAGGATCCAGAATGAACGACGTTTAGCAAAGTTGCAACACTTGTCGTCATGTAGCCATATGAATTTTCGGTGCAATCATTTGTTTATCGTAGTGTAGTCATCCCACGTGCATCAGGAAGAAGCCTTGCGAAGTCCCATAGAGCAAAGCAAAAGTCGCTAGTGTCTGGCCGGCACGTTGCAGTAGTGCGCCTCCTCTGCGCCGCGTGAGGAGTACGATGCAGCACGGAGTCAGCCTTGTGCATATGAGCCTCGAAGTTGGGCACCACACCGTCCATGGAAAATCGGCGCGGTTGGGTGTTTTCGATCAGTAAATTGCATGTTGTCTCCAAGATCATAAGGATGCGAGATCGAATGGCAATACTTCGCGTCGAGTCGATCCGGCCTAAAGTGCACTTCTTCCATCTCACCCGGTCATGATTTCCATTGACCCGGTGGGAGCATCTGCGAAGCCCAACACTGGCATCGATAGCTCGGTGCGGTGGACGGGCCACGTTGCTTGAGGTCGGGACCCATCCCTTTGTGTACACCAACTGGTTCGTAGGCAGCACCTTAGCTACCAGGAACTATGCCTTGGTCAACAGCTTTCCTCGGCCACTCCATCCAGACCGTACAAGAAGACTTCGACAATAGGTCGTCCACAACAGCCACGATTTCTTGACCGCCGCCCTTAACCCACCAATGTCCTTGGACGTCTAAGTGGTGCAACAGAACACCAAAATAGGCAAAGAGTAAGAGCGCTGCCGGTCTCTTCTCCGTCAGGTGCGAGAAGAATGTCTCCGATGTCGAGTACACCCACAGCAGTGGACCTGCTGACCCCTTGTGTTCACTCCAGTCGGCGATCGGTTCTTGTGTTGAGCCAGGTCGCATGGTAAATGCGAAGCTCTTGCGCAGATTGTACAGTGTTTCATCATACAACTCGTGGTCGGTGTCATCAGTCCAAACGGTGGATAGATGGCGTAAATGTTCGTCTCCGGGCCATGCGATGCATTCAGGATCCAGCTCGTCCCAGTCTCCATAGTTCAGAACAGGGGCTAGATGGCCTGATCGCACACGGTCGTAAGTTGGCTCCAGCAATACCTGCACGCCTCTAACCATCGGAATCCAGGTGGGGCCTAGTACACGCTGCTCAACATCATCGTCGCTTTCCTTGCCGAAGCGGAAGTTCATGCACAATACTATGACAACATTGATTGTCGCGCAAGCAAACAATGCTTCACAGAGCTCCACCGAAAGCTCTGGTATGCGGTGCATGGTTTTGTGAAAATCGCGCAATGCTTCCACGTGGTGGTACACCGCATCATGCCAATAGTGAGAAGTCCGTGCGACAAGCTCCTGGTCAGCCAGATGCAGAGCAGATAAACTCAGAATGGCGTGGAGGACGAAGTGGTGTTTGAAACCGATCCGAGGGAAAATGTCTTGCCACAAATCATGTCCTTTTGGAGATGCATCGATGCTGCGACTTCCCACGCGAGTCCAATGATGCAGAAGGTAAAGGTCATTTGCGCTGAGAGTGATGCCGTCGTTGTCGAGAGGTGCAGCCGGTGATTCGGCCGGAGTGGACGGCGAGGCAGTGACATTTACGGTTTCCGATTGGTCTTTGTAGACACAGTCATGGTCATACCGCTCACACGCAAGACAGCGTGGCCTGGTCTCGTCACACTGCCGGGGCTGATCAGCATGTTTGGCGCCACCAAGTCATGGTATAAGAACGGCGCTCCTACCTTGATGCGGCGTCTTCTGCATTCTTTGCAGCCATTTCTTGACTTCCGATGCGGTCTTCGCCTGCCCTGAACGGCATTCTGGGACATCGTGTGGTGCGATCCGATCCCAATGGATGGTTTTGCGTGGCATTGGTGTGAAGTGCAATTGCGAGATACGAAATACGATTTACGCGGAGCTAGTCGATGCTGAGTCAGATATTGCTGCCTCAGGCTGTCAACTGCAAACACATTGACATTGCCCACGGATGGCCGGCTTTCCTGACCAGGAAGATACAACACATGCAAAGTCTGTATGAGAAATACCATCGGGCACTGGTGCCAAGCTTGGATCGAACATCGCGCCAAGTTCAATTCGCTGTCAGCTAACCGGATCTCCCCAGGTCCTAGATTATGACTGCATATATGAGCATGAGTACCGCCCCGTGTTCTCCCTGCAGTCGATTTCAATACGTATAGCAGTCTCAATACCTAGCCTGTCATGGCCGCTTCTCCATCAGGAATGATACAGGCGACGCTCAACTACTTCTTAGACCCCAAGGATGGTGGCACTATTGACCACTACGAAGGTTCTGTAGGCGAGAAGCGCCGGAAGCATGCGCCATTTGTAGTCGACATAAAAGACATTCGCGGACGCGAGAAAGATTTCACTCTCGACAGCCACGGCTTTCAGCTCGTGAAGAAGGAATTCACGGAGCAGACATTCGACGATGAAGATCGCATCAGAGAGCAATACTATCCCGAAGTGGCTGACCTGGTCAAACGACTAACGGGCGCAACGAAAGTCGTCCCTGGCCAGCATGTTGTTCGCCGCCAGTCATGGATCTCAGCATTTGAGGAAGAAAAGAATTTGCCAAACGATGCACGGTCAGTAGGTCCAAGTAACGCTAGATGGGTCCATTGTGGTACGGTGAACTGCTCGCGACAGCAATGCACCCTCTCATTGACACACAATCAGATCTCACATTCGAAGGAGCGCGAGAGCGCGTCAAAAAGCTCTGCCCAGAATACGCAGACAAATTGCACAAATATCGCTGGGCAACAATCAACGTCTGGAAACCATTCGATCATCCAGTTACGCGTGATGGATTATGCTTTGCCGACCCTTCCAGCATTCGCGACGATGAGCTGCGAACCATCAACTTGTATCTCCCCTCTCGGCGTGACAGCGCTCAGCAAGATAGCGACAAAGATGGAGCCGACGGAAAACACTGGAACGATGTCGTTCAGAGTTGGCAATGTGCTCCTCCTGCTACGCGCGATCAACATAAGTGGTACTACGCGTCTGAAATGAGACCAGATGAGGTGCTGTTGTTGAAGATCTCGGACTCGAAGAAAGGCGTTGCGGATAAGTCGTTGCATACAAGCTTTACGAGTGAGTATGATCATGGTCCGGAGAGGCATAGCATTGAGGTGAGGTGTAGAGTAATCTGGGAGGATCAGTCATCGGACTAGGAGTCTTGGTGCTATCAAGAGATCAGTGCTCGAAGAGAGGCTTGATCGTGGATCTCACCTTTAGCTTAATGAACTGTGCTTTTGCCGCGAAGATTCAAATTGCTTTCTCGCCGTGGGATGAAGACGAATGTAGAGATGACGCATGCGACAAGTGATGAAAAGCCTGGAACATTTTCTATAATCTATGAAGTTCTGTGATCGTCTTCAAAGCCGGAAACAATGCGAGTTGGAACTCTAGACTGGTTGGCGATTGAGCAGCGGGAGTCCTGTCTGATCCGAATCGGGAAATCCTGCTAGTGATCTCGCTGGGATGGATCGCATTGTACAACGCGAAGACAGCTTGACCTCTAGACTGATTGGCGGTTGAGAAGATGATGTCCGTGCTTGTGCGAATCGGCGATACTGCTGGTGATCTCGCTTGGATGGATCCCGTTGTACAATGCGAAAACGAACAGCATCAGGCATGCGTCGAAGACGTACAGGTAGACCTCGTATCTCAGCAGGTAGCCGTTATTGCCCTGCAAATATTCGATCACTCGAAAGACGGATCTGACGAAGATGGCCAGGCTGACTCCGAGCAGCGCCCAGCAGTGTCTCTTCCACGGTAGGCCGGTATTGTAACTGCTCGTGGTCGAGACCTTGTTCATGCGCCAGTAGAATGTGCTGCTGGCAACCATGAAGAAGCCAAAGAAAAATATCTGCACGAAGAGTCCAGCCACAACGATCTTTTCGCCGGTCTCCATGGCGGAGAGCGTGCCGCTGGACATGATTCCACCGCCGGCTCCCTGTCCGATGATGGCAATGACGTCGCCGGTCACGAAGATTTTCGTCAGCCATTGCTTGCGGACGATCGAGAAGCGCTCTCCGTTTGTGGCGAGGATGATCCGTCCGAGTGTCATGTAGATGGATGCAGCGCAGAAGGCCGGTGCGATCAGTAAGGTCATCGTCTGCATGATGTATGGTCCAAGAGCCCACTGGTCCTGTGATGAGATTGCTCGACCGATATAGCCAACGATCTCACCTGAGGTGCTTCAATCAGCCTTCATTGTACGAAGAGCACGCCATTGGCGCTGTGCGGAGAGACGAGATACTTACAGAAACCTCCGATGAGGAAAGGTATGAGATACCATGTTCGCGACCGGATGCATTGCACAACGTGCAGGCCAACTGTGATGCTGAAAACGATAGCGAAGATGATGGCCGCAGCTAGGCTCGGATGGTAGCGGTAGAAGACGAAGTAGTTCGGGTCATCCAGAGCGGGATGAGTGTCTGAAGACATGGCGTCGGTGGTCGAATGTTGGTCGGTTCAAATGGTCCTCGTGGCTTTCTTAGTTCTCTGATGGAAAAAGCACGGTAGCTGTGTAGGCAGACCCGAAGCCGCGATGAAAGAAAGAAGCTGGGAGTTGTAGAGCCTGACTGGTGAATGCAATCATGGCCCCGGGATTGCTTCACTCTTATGTCTCGAATGCTCTTGCCGACAGAAGATGGTAGCGAAACAGATACGGCCAGGCAGCCGCATAAACATCAAAGTCTTGTACAGCCACAAGAGAAGATTGCGTATGGGTCTTCTAGTCGGCTGCCATGCGTATCGCGTTTAGTCGTTTGGCAGACGTCGATGGCTCCGGGCCAGAGGCGCGAGGGCGGCGGTGGCAGGCCGCACATGGCAGTCCACGCCGGCACGAGACGGCCATTGCTGCATTTTCTGCTCCAGAAAGACCAGATGAGATCTAGCGTGCGATGTTGCCGACCGGTGTTTGCATAGGGCTGAAGAAACTGCGTACCAAAGGGGCAGAATGCGAGATGCGAAGTGCGAAATACGAAATACGTTGGACGCGCCGACCCTCCAGCCACATTCGGTCCGTCTGCACTGGCCACTCGGCGTCCGAGATATGGCTTGGCGCGGCTGCCTACGATTCGACTTCGGCTCCATCTGAACTACATCACTTCTCCTACTTGACTGTGTAACCTGTATAAGAGCAAAGCCATGGAAGCAGCAATGGAAGCATCAAACGCAGCCACAGGTGAAGCATCGATACCACCCAGCCACTACGACACCGGATAATCATGAAGACTACCGAGATTTCCGTTGCCCTGCTTGGAGTTTTGGGGCAAGCCCTTCAAGTCCCATGCACCGGAACAACAACACTCAAGTATGAATCAGAGCGCAACGGCATTCTCATTGGGTCTGGAGCCATCAATCCAGCATACCTGAACGACCCAAAATTTGCAGCCGTTCTGAGCAGAGAGTTCAAGAGCATTTCGCCGGAGAATGAGCTGAAATGGACTTTTGTCAATCCATACGAAGGATATTACAACTGGACCGGATTGGACCGCCTGGTTCGCTACGCACACGATCATGACATGGTCATCAAAGGACACGGCTTGATCTCGAACTGCTGCAATCCAGATCATATCCTCAACATCACCGAGCCTGAAGTGCTGCATGCCGCACTGACGTCCCACTTCGAAGCCGTCATGCATCGGTACGCCGATAGCATGAACCGATGGGACGTCGTATCTGAGGCTTTGGAGCCCATGGGCGGCGGTCTTCAAGCCAACTTCTTTTACAACATCTCCGGACCAGGCTACATTGCTGATGCTTTCCGCATCGCCCGCGCTGCAGATCCAAAAGCCAAACTCTTCCTCAATGAGAACCTTGTGGAAACATATGCCAACAAGCGCCAAGAGCTGTACGACCTGGTATCCGGACTCGTTGCGGAAGGCGTGCCCATCGATGGCATCGCATTGCAGATGCACATTACAGAGGTCGCTCCCGAACCTGGTGTCATCACTTCCATGGTCAGGTCGTATAACGAGCTAGGTCTGGAAGTTTCGATCGCGGAGCTAGACGTCCACACGCTCAACTCCACTCTCCAAGCTGAGATTTACGGTGCTGTCATGCGCGAGTCCCTGGCGGCGGGCATCATAGACATCAGCTTCTGGGGATTCACGGACAAGCATCTCTATACCTGGCTTCCAGGCGCGAAGCCGCTGATCTTCAATGAGACATACTATCCGAAGGCTGCCTACTACGCAACTCATGCCGCGCTGGCAGATTTCAACAGTCGTGTTGAGAGCGATCTGGTATCGCATCCGGCTCCCTAAAAATCCACCCTCAGCCTCTGCAAGAACTAGCCTTCCGGCTGCCTGCCACAAGGTTTTGCCAAGTGGTGGCGACTCGACCTCTATTCACTCACGTTCTGTACGAAATCTATTCATGTATCTTAACAGACCTGCAGCACTTCTGCCGTTCGCCAAATCTTTCAACTATAAGCTCTTCCTACAGCTTCTTCAGCATTCTGTCGGCTGTTCCAGTTGCGATGGAGCTCGCTGCAGCATCTGAATTGGAACTGATTTTCTTTGCACCATCGACAGTGACAACCAAGAATCTCAAGCATCCGCTGACTACGCTACAGCCTGAGCTCACGCCTCACCAGATCTCATCTTCTCGATCCGATTGTCACAGCGATCGATTTCCTCCCGCCACACATCCAACGCATGAAGCTTATATCCATGTACCCAACAGAATCCACGATCTCGGATGGGATTGGTAGCCCAATGTTGAGCACCGCAGACATCATGCTTTTGCACTGCCTTCGGCGTCCTAGCGATTGCGCCCCACAGTCGCCAGACAGATTTCTGCACCCAGTATGATGTGCACAAAGTCTAAGCGCTCGACAACCAATCCGCATAACTTGGCTTCTGCTACAACGATGTCCCATGAGGCACAACATCTGAGCGCGTGCTCAAGGCTTCACGACGATCATTCCGGGTCAATGTTCTCGTCCCCACACTTCCGATGCGTCGACCATGCAGTCGGTACCAGCTCTCACAAGCCAATATCTGCAAGGTATTTTTAGACTTCGGCGCCATTGCATATCGCATGGCGGGGCACGATATGAGAGCTCGGTGTGTTTCAAGACATTCATATCTTCACGACTTCGAACTCGACCACATTCACGCGGCAACCTGAACCTCCAAGAACTACAACAAGCAAAATGACCACCCAAGACAAAACCCAAGAGCTCCTCCAGCTCCTCAGCAAAGCTCAAGACCTCGCCCAAGACCTCGCCTCCTCCAACGCCCTCGACCCCAAAACCCAAGCCCACCTCACTCAACTCTCCAAAACCCTCCACCAAACCCTCCAACCCCCCGTAGCCCGCATCGCAGACACAATCCAATCCCCCTACCAACTCGGCGTCCTCGCAACAGCCCTCTCAGCCGGCTGGCTCGAACATCTCCACACCGCCGGCCCCTCAGGCCTCACAATCAACGACCTCGCCTCCAAATCCTCCACATCCCCCTCCCTGACCCTCCGTCTAATCCGCTACCTCAGCGCCTCCAACCTCCTCACCCAACTCTCCTCCTCTCCAGAAACCTTCTCCACAACCCCCACAACATCCCTCCTCACCACCACCCCCGGCCTCTCCAGCGGAATAAAACATGCAATCCACTGCTACGCCCTGCCCGTCTCCAAAATGCCCGAATTCTTCCAAAAACACGGCTACAACGAACCTTCGGGACCAGAGAACTGTCTCTATTCTTATGCATATGGTCGTTCACATTGGGAAGCTACGACGAAACAACCAGAGATTGCGAAGTGGTTTAATGAATTCATGGCCATGGCGACGTTTAGTATGAAGAGTTGGGTGGATGTTTTTGATGTGGGGAAACTAAAAGTTCAAATCAAAAATGAGGATGCTGATGGGAACAAAGACAAGGAAAATGGGGAGGGGATTATGTTAATCGATGTCGGAGGCGGGCGAGGCCATGAATTGGAGAAATTGGCAAAAAGGAAAAATGAATTGGGAATGAAAGGAAAATTAATATTGCAAGATCGAAAAGAAGTCCTCGAACAAGTTCCATCAGAATGGAAAGGATTATTCGAAAAGGAAGTGCATGATTTCTTCAAACCGCAAGAGGAGAAATTTTGGGGGGCGAGGACATATTATGTGAGTTTGAATCCACTTTGAATTCAGAAAGGGTATTGTTCATACTGACACTGTCTTTCCAGATGCGAAAAATCATGCACGACTGGACAGATCTCCACTGCTCAACAATCCTCAGCCATCTCCGCGATGCGATGAAACCAGGGTATTCGACGTTGCTGATCAATGATATTGTCGTTCCGGAACGGGATTGTCAATTGCGGACTGCGTCGTTGGATTTGATCATGTTGACGGTGTGTGCTGGGAAGCAGCGGACGGAGAAAGAGTGGCATGAGTTGGTTGAAGGCGTGAAAGGGTTGCAGATTGTGAAGATTTGGCCTTTGGAGGAGAGTGGTGAGAGTGTGATTGAAGTGGTTCGTGGAGATTGATCCGGGTGGTAGGATTTTATTTCGTGCAGGTCAGAGATATCGTCCGGGATGGGGGATGTCCGATGTCCCGTTGTGAGCGCTGCTGTGGCTCGGGAACCCTAGTTGCGGGTTCTGAAGGTTGTGCTTGTGTGCGAATTCGTAGTGACTGAGGATCCTTTTGCTTACTCTTTGTAGAGTGGCCTATTTCATTAGATAGAATTTCGCATATCATACACTGACCGAAACCACCAGACTCTCCACGACGACGTTCCTCTGTTGTCCTTCGCCGGCCGAAGCTGGGCGTCTTTGTGCTGTTAATTCGAGGCTTCGTGTTTCTTGCCTCGCCAAACCTCCTCCGCTCTGATTCCGAAACCGCTTGACCTGATGTCTCATCTGCGAAGCCGGAGTTCTCCTCACGTCCACCTTTAAATTTGTTGCTGGTGTTGGATTGTCCTCCAGAGCACCCGCCGTTGATCTTGCGATCTTTGTCGCAGTGCCCGTGCTGATAGCCACGGTCGTCAAACTACGATGAACGATAGCCATCATCACGTATCCCGTCCGGCAGCCCATCCGGTAAACCATCTGTAGGCCCGATCATGCCGCTCCGCCCTCGACTTCCTATTCAAGCCATAAATGTTAGAAATGCCTCTGACCGGTCCTTGCCACCTGATCTCTTTCATCTGATCAAATGCTTCGCGTCGTGTCAGTCAAAATACGCACCTCCACTCCGCCGTGAGCTTCCCTGCTGCTGTTGCTCCTCATAAGACCTCCTACCTTCACACTGCGTCGCTCCTTCACCCGGAGCACGAGGTCCTACCATCCAGTCTTCCATGGCCAACCAATCACTCCATTGTTTCTCTGCCGCGGCCAACTCTTCGCCTTTTGCCTCATCGAGAGGCTTCATAAATGGAACGCTCTCGTCTCCGCCATATCCGCTCCCTACATCATACTGTCTCTTGCACGTCCGCCACCCGCCGTGTTTTGCTGCAAACAAGTAATTCCTGCGTTCGCATTCGACGTGCGGCATGATTCCGCGCTCGTAATCGTCGCCGAAGAAGCCATGCATGATGGCAGGTTTGTCGAAGCCTGTCACCACGAGGCGGCGGATGTATGGTATAGGTGAGACGTGGACTTGTGGATTGGAGCTGTTGTGATGGTGGCTGCTGCCAGGCAAGTCGCGAGAGCGAGGACTATTGACATTGCTGCCGCTGCGGGAATAAGGATTGAATGTGAAGGGTTGCTGAGAAGCTGAGCTGGAGGCAGGATTGGAGGATGTCACGGGCGTGGAGAGCCATTGGAATGGCAGGCGAATGTTGATGAGGGCACAGACTGCTTGCGTACCAGGTTCGTACTGAGCGTGGTCGACGAAGTAGCGCTGACAGGACAGGTAGGCGGGATGCCAATCGAGGATGTCGAAAGTCGGATCGCTCAGGCCCACTGGCGGAGTCGGCTGGTGGGAGTCCATGCCGGAATGGACGGGCGGACGCGTGCTGGAATTTGTGGAGCCGTGGTAGTTCACATCGTAAGCAGCGGGGCGGTGGGACGAGGAGGAGGAGGAGGATGGATAAGAAGCGTAGGGTTGGCGCGGTGGGAGGGAGCCCATGGTCTGGCGGGTGGCGGGCATCGACTAGGCGCGAGTGGTGAAGTCATGCAAAACTGATGCGTTGATCGGTGGAGGAGATCTGGGTATTAGTAGCCGCGTTTCATGCCAGACCACGCGCCCACGAGCTCCACCATCGTTCGTCTGCGTGCGGGACTTCCGTCCATTGCGGATTGCCAACGCCTCATTCTGCGCTCGCAGCGACAGCGGATTTGTGGTGGAGGAACGGTGTACTCTTCGACCAGAGAAAGAAGGGTCCAGCGCAGGGTCCAGCGTGGTGCTGGGATGGGAGCTTCCCCTGCCAAAACCAGCGCCGTCCACCGCCCGCCATGTGCCGGACCGCAGAACCACGAGGCGAGCACGTTGTACAATCTTACGCATTCCAAACAAAGTGCACATCACTTCTTACAGAGGATATACCTCCTCTATGACAAATGCGAGCCAACCGGAGAAAGCTGACCAGAACCACAACGCTACAACACCTCCCTCCAGGAACAGGCGAGGATCACACGTCATAGCCACAGCATCGGAAGAGCCCCTCCAATGCCACACTCTCATCTCTCTCCCTCTGCATCTACACCGCTGACCTCCCACACCACATGTCCCGGATAAACAAAATGGCTTACTCCCTCGCCACCCGCAAACCCCTCAACAATGGTCACAGCATCCCCTCCATCCACCTTGGCGTCTACCTCATGTCCGGAAAAGAAGCCTCACAAGCTGTAGGCCATGCTCTCGATGCAGGTTACCGCGCTGTAGATTCCGCACAAATGTATCACAATGAACGCGAGGTCGGGAATGCGATCCAGAACTGGCTGAAATCTCATCCGGAGGTGAAGAGGGAGGATATGCATTATACGACGAAACTTGCTAGTAATAGTGATTATGAGAGGGCGAGGAAGAGTATTACGAAAAGTGTGAAAGAGTGTGGGTTGGGGTATATTGATTTGTTTTTGCTGCATAGTCCGTATGGAGGGAAACAGGCACGATTGGAGAGCTGGAGAGCTGTAGAGGATGCTATTGAGGCGGGTGAGGTGAGGTCGGGTGGTGTTTCGAATTATGGCGAGAAGCATGTGAGTGGTGTCGCATGTTCTACTGTTTTGGGTTATTTCAACTGACGTCTGGCACAGATCGATGAACTGCTCTCTTCCAAGCCTCGAATTCTCCCTACAGTGAATCAGATCGAAGTTCATCCGTTTAATACCCGGTCGGCCCTCACCCAGTACTGCGCGAAGAACAATATTGTCGTTGAGGCTTACGCTCCCCTAGCTCGGGCTTTGCGCATGAAGCATCCCGTCATTGTGGAATTGGCCAAGAAGTATGGCTGCACAAGTGGTCAGCTAATGGTGAGATGGAGTCTCCAACACGGCTACGTACCTTTGCCAAAGAGCGTAAGGAAGGAGAGAATTGTCGAGAACGCACAAGTCGAGCAGTTGGAGATCTCGGAACAAGACATGCAGAGGATGGACGAACTGGACGAGTACCTAGTCACTGGTAAGTTTGACAGGGAAAGAGTCGGGAATAAGCATTTGAATTTGAGGCTGACGTCGCTACAGATTGGGATCCCTTGGACGCGGATTAGACTTTGACAGGCATGCTATAGGGATACCCATAGCTCTGTCTTATCAATGCGGCGCAATCAAGACAGTAGCGTACCTTCTTGAGGCGATACTGCAAGAAACGAGCAAAACGAAGCGGAAGCAACTCACCAATCAGCGAGATCGAGAGGACCAAAAAATGCCCTACATGTCGGCCGCTTTGCGCTACCAGCAACATGTGTTGACAACCACCAGTCGTCAGTAAACGTTTGCTGTGCTCCAGTTCACATTGATGGAATTATACGACCACATGTCAAAATATGATCCCATCCCGGGAAACGCAGGCCAGGACTTACGTGACATCACGCCTAAGCGACCTCTAGGCCCAGAGCTGACGCAGAATCACAGATATGCGATGTGGGTATACAAGCCGTCGTTGAATCCCTATTTGATACGCTTCATCTCATCATCAGCGAAGTTAGAAGAACATATGAGAAAGAAAGCTCGATATCGGGAATCAAGAAATAAAGCCAACACTAAAAGCATCTCTGATCTATCATAAAATTTTGTGAATGCGCGTTGAGCGTGGACGCAATGCTGATCTTTGGTGATACAACAGTAAGCTACAGCTCTCCACCTTGTGTCGGCCCACTGTTGTGTAACATAAGACGATGCTGCCAGTATCACCCTGCGCTGAGGCGACCTTGACGTCCACCTTTGGGCTCGACAGCTACTCGAAAACCAGGCATAGAATCTACCATGCAGACTCTCAGCTGTGCCAATTCAGACACAGTGCTTCTTCCGCTAACCACACTTGTGGACTTGCGAAAGAAAGTGGAGTCCTACGGGAACTTGCAGCTCCTATCCATGCAGACGGCAGCACTGTTTGAAGCGACAGATCGTCTTCTCTCAAACTACTCCACGCCGTTCCTCATTTTCGAAAACTTCCCATTGTAACTCCCCGACATCTGGCTGTCGAAACTCTTCGACATCTCATCTCTTTTCATTCACCACTCACTGACCGTCCCTTTTCTCCTCAGCGATGGCAGCCATGCCTTCCCTGTCCCGAAGGAACGAATGGGCCACCAAATTCCCAGCCGAAATCATCAAGCACATCTTCATTTACCTACAGCCACCATAACCAGAAACCCTCGGCCGTGCCCGACACGAGCACATCGAATTCGCAGACGAGCATGCCGAAGCCGTCAACCAATTCGCAGCTGCAAGCCACAAAGATCTCCTTCCAAGGTTGAAGACAAACGATGCCGAACACAAGGTCGGACTGCTCACGCTCAGCAACGCCACGCGTGCATGTAAACGCTTCCGCGATATCACCCAGCCTCTTCTTTATGAGAGCTTCCCAGGACAGCCTGTTGCCCACCTGCAGAGTCTGAATCGCACGCTGATTGCACGACGGGATTTGGCTCGAATGGTCAAGAACATTACGATTGGCGAGTGGGACATAGATATGCTGAGGACACTGGATAAGTGCGCATCTCTCCCGCAAGAAGCTTTACCTAAACCGTACTAATATCTCTGCTTCCGCACAGATGGTGGCAACCCACTATCGCAAAAGTCGGACTAAGCACCCACCTCATCGAAGCCATCCACTCCAAAGCCGAAGCAGGTTTCGAAGATGCCCAAGTCGCTTTACTCCTTCTCCTTTGCACAGAAGTACAAGCCATCGATATCTGCGTCCCGCTTATGTTCAAACGAAGTAGCATCGTCAGCTTGCTCCTGACCGAAGTTGCCCAAGAACGTCCCAACACGCTGTTTCGTGGTGCAGAAGAAGATTTTCCAACACAGATGCCTACAAGTCTGCCGCTACGGAAGCTGAAAACCCTCAGTACACGCAATGCAAACCCGGCTCTCTCTGTCTGCATCTCCGCTTTCGAGAAACTGATGGCACTCAAGACAATCAAACGCCTCACCCTGTTCCGTACGTTGTTCGAATCAGAGATTTTGCCTTGCTTGCCGGGTCTGCAAGAAGTTTGCTTGTGGCGATGCAGGATAGGATCACAGCTCGGCGCAGCCCTCGCGGGCTGCGGGAATTTACGATCTCTGAAGGTCATCTGGCCTGGTTCGTCCATGGACTACATGCAAAATGTCTATCCGCTGGACACTGTCATCGACTACAAGCAAATCGGCAACTTTATCACAAAGCACCTGAAGAAGCTAGAGACGTTGATCCTCGATCCACGCGAAGCATACCTCTTCGGCAAATCCTGCAAGCAACTGCACAGTTTGGACTTGTCCTTAATGGAACATCTGACAGAGCTTTCGGTCGAAGCACAAGCACTCTGGGACCAACACGTCAACAGACGAATGTCCTCACTGGGAGATGAAAGCGCCCCTTCCTCGCCTGAAGGAAATCCTCCCACGTTCATTAACCAAACTCGCCATCTTCGTTGATCGCCGCAGTGACCACATGTGGGCAATGAGGGACAAAGAATATCGCATCACCCGCAACGCGAAGCTCATGTTGTATGAATGTGCCAGATATCTCATTGATGCTCCGACATGCTTCAAGTCACTTCATCTAGACGTGCCGTACATGGAGATCGAGCCAGGCTTTCGTGAGCTTGCAGCGCTGTTCAAAGACCTCGGACGCTCCGCAGATGAGGTGATTGGAGATCCCGCTGCGCAGAGGGCGAGTCCTGTTGTTGGTGCTACGACGCCAAAGGAGCAGCGAGTCAAGTTGAGGGGCATCTTTGGTTTGTGGCTGCCGGAGAGTGGTCGGTGGCCAACGGTAGTGATTGAGAAAGACGGCGAGATGTCGCAGGACGCGGATTGGGAGGAATGGAGGAAAGTGTTGGATCAGAAGATCGAGGTCTCCCGTGGATGGTTTCGCTGGGAACGATGATGGAGCAAATATCTCGAAGACTGGACGATGGATGCATTTACTCCAACCGCTCGTTTTGCATGAGTGACATAAAGCTACGACAGAATTCTTAGCAAGGCATAATATATTTCGGAATTCCTACAGCTACTTGCGCTATTCTGAGAGCCAAGTCGAGGTTTGTGCTAGTACAGGAATCGCGGCGTGGTATACACATATCGAGTCAAACCCTATACTCAATGTTATAGAAACCAAAAACCCCACTCAACAGCTACATCCACACTATATCTGCATATACTCAACATTAATCCCCCCACCCGGCGAGGCAATCTGAGCAAAAGCATCATTGCTCAACTTCATAGTAGCCGGACAAGCTTCGCAATAATCCAAAACTCTGACATCGATCGTGCTCCCTACGCACGGTTTATTCTGACCCGAAATGCACTTGAGCCTGCAACGTCTGCCACAAGCTGCTCCATTGTCCCAGAGGCCCTCTGACACAGAGATGAAGAGGTTGCCTGAAGGGAATTGACCCGGATCGTTCTGGTAGCAGCGTGTTGGCGTGTATAGCAGGTCGTAGGAGACGGCGGTGCCGATGTCTGCGAGGGCTGAAGAGGTGAGGATTTTGAGGATGAGGAAGATGTTCATTCTGGAGGAGCTTTTTAGTGTTGCTGTTGTGAGTACTGTGTACCCAGAAGAGACGCTACGTACTCTTCAATGGATCCGGACTGCGGGTGGGAACGAGTTGACAGCGTTTGGCGCAATGTTGCAATGGTGTAACTGGGATTGAGCTCTCAAATTACTCGTTATACTTTGGAATGTGTACCTTGCACCATTTCCTCCGACCAGCAGGACGAACACTTATGTGGTGCCAATCGTGACTATAGTAAGACGTGGAGTGCACACGCCCTGGATCAAGAAATTCTAGGCCGTCGCCTTGACAGAAACGTCTCCAATAGTCGCGCTTAGCACATAGATTACCGATCACGCTTGCCAGCATTCTCTGATACACTGTTTACTATTTATCCCAAAGAGGCGGGCGAGTCGACAGCAAGGCACACCCTGGTCATAATAGTGAGAAACGGTGGTGCACTCGGTTGTTGACAGAATTGGTAGGACCCATACCAGATGGTGCTGAGCAGCATGAGATGCAGCGGATTCTTCAACCTGCGTGCTGGCGACGCTAAGTTCAATGTCACCGCATGTTCGCAACCAATCTCGCCCTCGGGTAGGTCCTGCGCATTGCATTCATGTCGGGGACTTTGTGGCGTGAGGATCAGTTACACGCAACATTGCTGTTGACGCGTGGCAGAAACAGCAATGACTGTCACTCTGGAGAGCCTATGGTATCGCAACGCAATAAGCAATGATGCCCAGCCTGCTTATCTTGAGCTTGATTGCTTCCAAAGATCCGGACTAACAGGCAACGACGATGGACAGCCGGGATCCAGACACCTGATCTTTGTGGCTGACACTATCCACCGGACTGCACGATCGTATCGGAGCTGGCACTAGGCCAGTCGAATGCGGAAGCCATGCCTGAGCCGCAGCATGTCGACGCGTCCTCTGGTGCACAGAACTCCATGAGCATGTCCTCATACGAAGGCCCAATCTTGCAATCACTTCTTAGGGTTGAGGTACTCATAGTACCGCTGCAGAGGTTGTACAACGTTCTGAGCGAAATCAGCCCTCCAGCCGTCGTCCTTCACAGCGACAGGCGCTTGTCGAAGAGTCCATGTAACAGCAGTGGCATACTCCTCACCAGCTTCACCTTGAACATCGTCCATCCATTCACACGCGACAGCCTGCCTAATCATAGGATCTGATTTGCCAACCGCAAAAGCTGGATTGGACCAAAGAGGATGGTCTTCTAGTCGGTTGCCGAAGCACAGTTCCAGAAGAACTATTCCTAGCGTTGAGAAGCTCCGATCTTTTGTCGTTTGATGGGAACCGTTTGCAGTACCAGATAGGTCCGCCAATATGTAAGGTTCGCCATGTAGTGTAACAGTGGCGCCATCGGACGAAGTGGGGAAACGAACGTCTTCACACGTCCAGCGCTGTTGGAGCCAAGGCGTCGAATGTAGCTGGAGGTGAGATGATGCTAACGTGAGAGCAATTCCATAGCGCTCGACTCGCGTCAGGCGGAGTCTTGATCGCGAGTCCAGAATGTCCGCAAGGGTGGTACCTGCAGTGCTGGGTGTACTGTGCACTATCGGGAAGACCGCATATTCATTGTCTCCATCGCTGAGCTGTCCTAAGCAGGTGTCGGAAGCCGCATTCGGGTCGTGGACAGCAGAGCACGTTCGGCACAAGCCATCGTTCTCCAGGCTGATAATTTGTGGCTGCGTAGAGGGCGAGGTGCTAGATGTACCTGATGTTGAGGTCGAGTTGGCTGTTAGCGTCAATGTGGAGCCACTAGTTGATCTGCTGCACCGTTAGCATCACTCCATTGAAATCAGCTGTGCGAACATACCTGGTCGCTTCCAATGTTGTACTACAGCTTTGAACAACAATAGAGGGCACTTGACTAGCAGGTTGCGGCCTCGACGCCTTGGATTCTCTGCTGCCCAGCTGTATTGTCGGCAGTGTGTCTGCTAGCCGCCATTGAATGCATTGCTGGCCTCCGCAAAGCTTCAGATGCATCTTCATCAGGACTTCATGAAACGATGGATGCTGCAGCCACAGTCTAGCTTGTGATCGACACTGGCATGTCCAGATTTTGTCCAGCAATCGGAAGATGCTCGCAGCATGGGAATGAAAGGTGAGGTGCTTCGCAATCGAACGGCGAGTTCCAGGACTCGTTCTGCTCTCGCTGAGCGCTGATATTCGGTCACTTTGGGCGAGAACATCTCGAAGTCGGTCGTTGCAGCTGTCGATCTGACGAAGGAGATCCTCTCGTTTCGCTGCCGCAAAGGCATAGTGGATTCTTTTGGCTTCAAAAGCTGCGTTCGCTCGCAGTATAAGGACTGTCTGAGCTTGCTGGTTGAGGGTGTTCGACGATGCCTTCTGTGACGAAGGTCAGTGCTTGCCTCCGCACCCAAAGCCCGTCCGTACCTGATTCTTAGCCATCAGACCGGCTTGGAACTTCGCATCATCAACGCGGCATTCCTTGCTCAATCGAGCCATGAGTTCTAGTATGTCCAGTAGCATTTCCACGTAACGATCGTGGCATTCAGAAAGACGTATACGAAGCGCGTCTTCCACACGGTCCTCTTTCCACCCGTGACCGCCCGGATTCGCGAGGAGTCGTTCGTACTGTCCCCGATTGACAGTCCCATCATGCACGAGCGGCAAGAGCAACTCTTTCAAGTTCAGCCGGAACTTCAGCTGGCAATCCTTGATCTTGCCAATGTCCCGCTTGTGTGCTCGTTTCACTCTCCACCATGTGCTTGTCACTTTTCTCGTCTCCTCGTAATTCTCCATTGCCGATATCAGGAGTGGGAAAGCTCCCAGCACTAGGCCAGCAATCTCTATACCAGACATGGCGTGCTTCCGGCTGAGGGTTGACGCAGTGGATATGTTCGGACGGGTGATATCAGCTCACGATATGGCCAGCTCACGATGCTGACAGGACTGCAAGGACCGCGGACGGGCAGTCCGCAGCGTACGCTCGCTTGGACTGATCTCAGATCAGCCTGCTGTCGAACTCCTGCAACCGAGATGGCTCCAACTGCTTGCAGCACACTGCATGCTCAGCTCCACTCACTACACCCCGCGGCAGCGACACGTGCGCGTGCACATGCTGCAAACGCGGCTGCTGTCGAGGCTGACCGAGCAGGCAGCGCACATCTCGTCGCCATGATTGCGCTGATGGAACAGCGTTAGTCGTATCACGCTTTGACACGGTCGTGGACCACTTCACGACATCATGTCTTCTGGAGCGGGACCGCCGACTACAGTTCATCCGGCTCCGATAGCCGAGCGGACGAAGGCCATCCTTGGTGTGTTCAACACCATCCTCGATACAAACTCTGCCGGCGAAGAGAAGCTGAGCCCTGTAGTGGATAACCTCTCTCGCTTCAGGATTTGGGCCGGTAATATCGGCGCCTATCATGTTGACTTGCGATCTGTGGATGCCCGACTCCGGGATGCCCCAGAAGTGGCTCAAAGAGTCCTCGACTTGCTCGCTGAACTGGCCGAAGTGAACGAAGACATCCGTGCCATCACCTCCGGTGAGCGACGGGACGCGGCAGATGAAGATTTCAGTGATGATGAGATCGAACAAGACACAGAGTCCGTCACCGAGCTCACCCAGCTATGTCTGTCTGCGTCGGACACTATCACCAGCCTCCTCAAGGTATCGGCTCTTCTTCGAAGAGCTACTGGGCGTGACCGTTATGCAAAGGCTGCTGCAACGTAGGATCACAAGTTCCTGGAGCAGTTCGATATACAACACGTGGCTGCGAAATTTCCCAAAGTCGAGGCTCGGCCGTGGCTGCGTGATCGCCTCGGAAGAGCAAATGTCCAGCGCCGGCAATACCTTCGATATGCTCGGAAACATCATGATAGACTGGCTCGTGGTCCTGAACTAGCGGACGAGATCACGTTCGCGCAACCCAAACAGGAGAGTGTTTTGAAGATGGCGATGGCTCGGTCAAAGACTGCCGCCTCCAGCCATCCTACGCTGGCTCCGACGAAAGCCTCTACTTTTGATCACGAACGCTTGCCACATCTCACAGCACAGATTGAGCAGATTGGACATTTGGATGACCGCGTGTCGCGAACCACTTCCGTTGTGACATCAAGCGGCCACGAGGACGGAGCGATCGACGTTGTTCGGCTGAGTGAGTTGGCCAAAGACGGGAAGCCGTTTGAATGTCCGTGAGTCTAATAATCAAAGTCTCTCGAGTGTTTAGTAGAGAACAACTAACTTCGCAGCAGATACTGCTGGACTATAATCCAGACCAGGCGCCAGAAGTCGTGGAGGTATTCCCCTCGAAGCACTTCAATTGGCAAAATCGAACGCTGACTATGGTTCAGGACACACGTGATGCGAGATATCAGGGCCTGGACATGTACTTTTGAGGATTGCAGCTCTGGGTTGTTTGAGGACCGTGACTCTTGGTTCCAGCACGAACTCGAGCAACACCGACGGCAATGGATATGCCATGAATGTCCGAACACCGTGTTCACTTCTGGGCAGGCCATCGAGGCGCATGTCCAGGCTGTACATCCTACGCTTCCGGCCGAGGTGATTCCGACAATCATTGACTCCAGCTCTCGTCCTGCGACCGAGGTCGAAGCGTCAGCATGTCCCTTATGCGACGAGTGGCAGGAAGGCCTTATTGCGAAAGCGACGGAGCTAGCTTTGTCGACCACTCATGTAGTGGTATCTCTGCACGACTTCCGACGCCACCTTGGCCACCATTTGGAACAACTGGCCCTTTTCGCAATTCCCCCGAATGTGGAAAACGCCATGGCATCTGGATCAGACAACAATCGGCATGGCAAATCGTTCACAGGAGACGCGAAGGTAACTTCATCTCGCCTTGAAGGTGTAGTCCTACTGCGCCGGATCAGTATACTCACATTATTCAGGAAATCACAGCCTGGAGTAAGAAGATCGACCCCATTGAGCCGCAGGACGAAAATGTCCCCGGTGTTGCATTGGCACTGCAAGATCACGAACCATTGTACGAACGTGATGAACTACGACTCACGAAGGCACAGAGGGCCATTGTATCTAACAGACACGACAAAGGCTGGTTGTTTGCCAATGAGCCCGAGACTGGCGAATACGCTCTTCTTCCAGAGGTGCGAGACTCGGATTCGAGAGGCAAGCCTGCTCGCAGTAAAATGCCAGCCCATGCAGTCTCTGTGGAAGAGGACTACCACCGTCGCATGGAGCAAATTCAACGAGAACTGGGTATAGCGCCCGCTCCTCAGCGCGCGGGGGATGTTGATTCAGATCGTGAACGTCGACGCAGACAACGAGAACAACGGCAGCGCGAACGTGAGCTCCGCAATGGTGGCTCGCACGCGCCTTGACCGGATAGCAGTTCAACAAGTACTGCGGTGCCTCCAACCGAGTATTGCTTGCAGTTATCTCACAATTCGGAGATTAATCACGAAAAGCTGGAATGGTTGCGACAGCAGTATGGAACCTTCTCGGATATCCCTCAGGAAGACATTGAACAGCTCCTACATTGGGCACAAATCTCACTTCAATTGCGACGGCAACATGAGAGTGATAAAGTCCGGCGTGCTCTATAAGCCCAGCAGCACGGTCAGACTACATTAGAAGCCGCGACAGGAACCTCCAGTGAAGAACCCGAGTACTTGCAAACACTGCGTGCACATCAGGAACAGCTGCGACAAGAAGCCGTCAGTATGAGCATGGACTTTAAAACGTTGAGACCTGTTCCGGAGTCTTCTGACAACGAGATACGGCCGCTATCTGAGGCGCAACGGGTAACCTTGCCGGAGGCAGATTATACACCCACACTGCCGAGCAGTCCCGGGCTCTCCTTGACACTGATGGATAAGGATTAAGAAGCAACGGAGACATAGCCACTATGGCATTTCGAGGCATCCAACTGGTTCCCAGAAGCCGAGAGTATCTGGGCCAGCAGTCCGAACCTTTTCCCGTGCCTCTTTGGTGTATATGGTTGCAAGTACCAGTTCTCCTCTAATGCCGCGTAGAAGCGTCACATCCAGACGCATCATATTCAATTTGAACACTGGCACTTCGAGATATGCTCAAACGGAGGGTTCAAGTCAGATAAAAACAAGTTGTTCAACCAAAAGGAACTCTTTAAGCGACATATCCTCCGTATGCATTCACCACAGATAGAGCAACCTGCCGCACGCGGAGGAAAGCCAAAGAATGAGATGCAGACGAGATATGAGGACGCAGAAGCCGGGTGGTGCCGCAGGACAATGCAACGAACCCCGAAAGTTGATCGATGCATATTATGCGATCGGCGGTTCAACGAACGGTATTAATTGGGAACAACATCTTGACCACATGTCTATGCACCTCGATACTGCAGCTAAGGATAGGCACGCTGGAAGTCTCGATTCAACAAAATGGCATAGAGATCATGACCTTGAAGAGTGTTTACGAAAAGAGGGCATTTTCACGACGAATCCCGAAGGGGACCATGAGCTGTGCAGCCTGAAATACAAATATATGGCGAGACCAGCCTGGGTTTTCCTCCATACCTTCTTAGCCACACCTCTGGAAGTTGGCTCTGTATCGCCGCGTGAGAAACATGAAGAAAGGACGGAGCCAAGATATGCTGTTGGAACTGTTGTCGTTGAAGTCGAGGATTGTGGAGCTTGGCAAGGAGGTGGGGAAGAATCATCTCGATACCTTGAATACTATGAGCAGACTCGCTAGAAAACGTCTGCAACGAGGACGATTGCAAGAGGCAGAAGCGCAAGCGCAGGATGTGATGGAAGCCAGAGAGGCTGCGGTGGGGCCACACCACTACGATACGTAAACAGTATGGCCAGCTTCGCTTGGATTGGCCGGGAACAAGGGCAGTTGCAACAGGCAGAAGAGATAGCAGTGATGGTTCTTGAGGCCAGAAAGTCGACGCTAGGTGCCGACCACCCCGATACTTTGAGCAGCATGGCTGAACCTGCTTCCATATATCGGGATTAGAGTCGGTTCGAACGGGCAGAAGACTTGCAGCGAGAGGTAGTGAATAGAAGGAGGGCAGTCCTAGGCGCGATGCATCCTGGCACGCTAAACAGCATGACCGACCTCGCGGTGACCTTTCGGCGGCACAAACGGTGGACACAGGCAGAGGAGCTGGAGCTAGAGGTAACAGACATCAGGAAAGAGGTGCTGTGGGCGCATCACCCCGATACGCTGAACATTATGGCGAGCCTCGCATCGACTTATCAGCGCGAAGGACGACTAGAGGAGGCGGCAAGGCTGGAGCAAGAGGTAACGTTAATGAGGAGCGCGAGATCAGAAGGGTTTCATATCGATATGTCGAGCAGCATTGCGGAACTTGCATCCGGAGAGAAGGAGAAGACAAAGCGTTAAGAAGTGGAGACAACCAGAGGGGAGCCACAGGAGGCGCAAACGAAATGAGGAGTCCGACTGTTATAAGCCCAGAACTGAAGGAAAGACAGCATAAGCCGCACCGCGCGTGATCTTTGCGTGTCCCTATCGCAGACGAACGGAGCCCTGGTTTGTTCGAGCACGCCGTAGCCAAAATCGATCGAATGTATTCTCTGTACCAGCTGCTCCACGCATGATCTCGCTGTTGCAACCCATCAAGTTTGTGCTGCTACCCCACTTGAGCAGCGTATGTCGTTCTCTCGTGCATGCGACCCAGGGCGTTCCCATTGGGGTGTGCCTTCCTGCCTCCAGCCAATTTGCTCTCCTCTGCTGGAGGATCGAAGCTCAATGAGCCAAGCTCCTGCATGGGACCGTTTGGAACTTTTAGGATGCTCATTGCACGGCCGAGCATCCTTTTCGAGATGAGACAGGTCTCAGTACACTCCGTCGCGTATGCCTCGAGCCACCAGAGCCAAGTAGATCCGACCATAATTCAATTCGAGAATGTCGGGAGGATGTTGCCACCTCGCGCGATACTTTGTTGAACACGGCTGGAGATCGCGATACGGCGTGTATACACGTATGCGCTCAAGGAACGTGTTCGCGTGTGGACTGATCGACACATCGAGCCTGTGAGGCAGTGGCTCGCTTTCGGTCCATCTTGTGGCATCGCTCAGCTGATTCTGGCAAGGCTCATTCGACCAGCACGAAGAGATGGTGGGAATATGTCGCAGTATGCGAGAAGTCTGAGGACTACGAGTGCGAGCGCGTGCGGCGCGTGGTGTGCGGCTACCGAAGGTGGCTCGACGAATTGTCGCAACGTTGTCGCAAAAGGAGGATTCAAGGTCGCCGCCGTGGGACATGAGATGACTGGAGTCGCCGCTTGGAGATTTAGTCGCTCGGCGACTTTCACGACAGGTCAAGTTGTTCCTAACATTGCCATCGTCACACATGAGTGTTGTCGAACCGGTCAAATGGCCTGCATCACGTTATCCTTTCGACGCTCTGCTGCGAATGCGGTGGGAGAGCACCGTCCTTGCCACGTCGGAAATCGACTTTCGTTGTTTCCCTCCAAATCTGCAACACATTTCATACTTCTGCGTTATCTATGCTTAGTTCAGTAGATATCGCCGCTGGGATCCAAGAATGCGGAGGCATTGAATATTCTCCAAGCTGACCTTGCAATGGGTGTTTCTCCCACCTCCACGTCACGATGGAACGGCAGCGTCCTCTGACATTCTCAACATACATCTGAGATGTCACACAGCAAGTCCATCGCCACTGTAAACTGACTATGACCTCGCTGCCATCATTCCACTACTTTCACTCATGCAACCCTAAGCAGACCCCGACCCTAACGCGGAGCCTAGGGAGCGAGCCTCGCTGAATGCTAACAATACACAACACGAAGCCGTGCGACATGCGAGAAATTCCATTCCATAGCTCTTCTGCCGTTCGCTTGTTCTGTGCGTGATACGCGAGACATATCGTGAATGTGCCACGTCTGCCATCTGGTTCACAAGCCAGTGATGACTCTGCACAACTTCTTTGCTTGGCAGTGTGCACCTGCTCCAAGTCTTTCTGGCAGTTTCTACTTCTTTCCAGCAGATTCTGCTGCTCGACAGCACTCATCCGCCTGCTTCCGCAACATTTGGTTCTTTCCACGGTTCACTCAGCTTGCACCATGCCATTTTCGGCTAGAGCGTCATGTGAGTTCGACAAGCGCCACCGCGACCGTTGAGTCCTGAAAGCTTCAGCGTTCCGCCCGATGCCGGCCGGCTATAAGTACCATCCAGCCTTCGCCTCTCTGCTTCTTCCGCGTTCCAACATGCAGCTGCGACTCTCAGTCCGCCTGCCTCATGGCGGCACCGTCTCTCGAAACACGAGCAACAAGACAGAACATCGTTCACAAGAGCATCAGTGTCACCTTTCGACATTCTAACATGCCTTCGACTTCAAGACCTCCGTGTGAGCGATTCAAGCCCACCGCCGAACAGCCGCGCAGCACAGCCTTGGCGACCACATACCAGCGTTACCTCTACAGCAGATGATGGCATCGCCGATGCAGCAACTCTGGTGCGCGGTTCAAGGAGATGTTCTGGTATCGTACCACACTTCAATGGAGGTGCTCTGGTATTGTACCACAGCGGAAGGTCGCGGAAATGAGTGAATGACTTGAACCCGACAGTGAATGACCTCTTTCTCACAGCGAATGAGAGACCTCTCTGAGACAGGGATTCTTTTTGCCCCGATTTCGTGGTACGCGCCAAGGTCCTCTTGTTCGCAAGCATAAAAACCCCCAACTTCCCTCCTCTCTTCTCTTCCTTTTCTCTCCAGCTTCCAGATCACCAAAGAGCAGCAACATACATCTCACCAGATACAACCCACTCTTGAAGCATTCGACAAAAAGACCACACGAGCAGAAACCAACAGCCAACCGAGTCGACATGGCTTGCTACGACTGTGGCCTGTGGGCAGCCCTCTCCTTTAAGGTGAGGCGCTGGCGCGCAGAACGACGATCCAGCCGCAAGGCGGTGGATTGGGACGCCATCGAGCGTGCCGGTCAGCTTCGTGCTCGTTGGGGCGAGGCGAAGGGCTGAATGGGGGGGAGGATTTCTTTTGTTACTCACCTTGATCCGTAAATTCCAGACGGTGTCTCGTAACTCGCATCCTCCTTGAATGGAGCTCTGCTGCAGAGACGCTGGAGGGTTGGTGATGGGTGGGGGCCCTGGGGAGAGGGCGGCCGACATGAGAGATACCTGTACGCGGTGTCGGCTACGAACCTGGTGTCTTTGTTACACCAGAGCCAAATCTCTCAAATGTACATTAGTTCCAGATAGTCGTTGTACTTGCAGCGCGATCTGATCTCTCTTCCATTGTCATCGGTCGCAATCCGCCACGTAGCTGCTACTCTCTTCGCCTTTTCTGCTTCACGATCAGTGATCGCGCGGCCATGTCTCCAGTAGCTGTT